AGAGAGAGAGAGAGAGAGAGAGAGAGAGAGAGAGAAGAAAAGTAAAACCTGTCAAAACATTACATGCGTTGGCAAAGCGTTTGCCACACTTTCTCTAACTTCTAAACACTTATCAATAATTAAATAAACCTTTTTTCTGTCAATAGTTTAGTTATAAGATATAATAATAATAATACTGTAATTGTTAACTCATTTTTACGCTCCAATTAATTTTTTACTCATATCTTTGCTATTTTCTCTTTATGGATGCCTTTCTCTCAATAAATCTTTACAAATTAATATTTGTTAACATTAGCCGAACATAATATTTAATGTCACAATTTTTTGCTTTTAATATTTTCATGAAAGTTAATTTAAATGCAATTTTAAGGCAACAATATTTTCAAGTGAGAATATTTTGGACTTTGTTTTAGGACTCAAATGTTTTTTTCACAACTCATTTGTTATGTATTTTAAACGCTTTTAAATTTAAATTTAATAATAACAATAATAACACTTTGCACTCATTTATTGCATAGCCGTTAGATATTTCAAATAACTCACTGAAAATGTTATGGCATTTATTATATAACTTTTAATTACAAAATAATTAATTTGAATAAAAATAATATAAAGTGGTTTTGGTTGAGGCAAGCGTTTGGGTCGACTGTTATTAGGATGAAATGATTTGATTAAAATATCGTTTAATATTAGAGCTCAAAAAACTTTTTTATTTGTTTTTATTTACATAAAATATAACATAAAAATTAATTAATTAGTGAATTATGCATTAAATGATCAGAATTTATAGTAATATACCATTTGTATAATGAACTGACTTTATGGTAAAAATTAGCAAATTTTCTCTATAAAAAAGATATAGATTAAAAATTTTAAAATATAAACTCATTGATTATATCATTGATTAATTAAAATATTTAAAAATCTAATATCATGTGAATAGTATAAAATCTATTCAAATGCATTGACCCTTCATTGGGAATCTGATTGAAGCTATTTTTGATATTAATTAAAACAATTTTAAAATATTGTTTTGATTGAAGGAATTCCTAATCTGAATGAAACATCACAAGAAGCGGTGCTCGTGTTCGCCGGCGAAGAGGCTTTCGTTGATTGCAAAGTAGAGAATCTCCAGAATTACACAATTTTGTTCAAATTCATGGTCGCCGGCACTGAACCACAGAAGTCGGAAATAATATCCGCCGGAAATCTTATCATTACAAGTGATCCGCGCTTTTCAATGCTTCATCACTCGGGTATTGATTGGGTTTTTGACAGTTTTGAAAATTGATTTAAAACTTGTATCCAATATTCAGAACATGACGTTTGGGTCCTAAACATAAAGAATACTAAAACTACTGATTCTGGTATTTATGTTTGCGAAACCAATTCCACTCCTAAGCAGCAAATCGCCCGACTTTTAAGTGTAATCGACACCGACTCCAGTGATAGCAATGATAAAACCGATGCCATTCTGTCGGATGTGAACCACAATTACACAGAATGTTGTATCGAAGAGGAAGTGCCAGAAA